CTAATGCCGAGAAAACAACAGGCAAAGCTAAACAGAGGACTCCTCCTGTTGTTTACGTTCTTCTTGTATAGATCGGAAAATCCTCGCCGCCGACTCACTCGCCGCCTTCGGATTGTGGGGCACCACCTTTATAACTCTCGTGGCTGCCAGCAGACGCTCGTTTCCACGGCTGTTCTCGGCGGCCCGCACGAGAGGGAGAGCGCTCCTAGACATGCCAGAGCCGGGACCACTTCCCGATCTTCCTTGCATCACCCTGCTGCTCTCTCTGTTCCACGGCCGTGGCTTTGTCACTAGCGGGCGCGGTTGCGGTGGAGTAGCTGCGTTTGGGAAGTTGCACGAGCTCTGCGGTTGCGGTTGCGCAGCTGCGGTTGGGAAGTTGCACGAGCTCTGCTGCTGCACATCCTCGAGATGGCCCGAAAAATTTGGGTTAACGGTGGGCCCAGAGTAAGGAGGGAAGTACCCTGAGAACCCGATGCCTGGATGGTAGGGCTGAGGGGCGGGAAATCCGGGAATGCCACAAACCGGACCGCCGCCGATGAAGTTGCTCACCGCCATTGGAGCGGGCATGAAACGACTGTAATACCCTCCACAGCCCGAACCCACGATTCCAGGACTCGAATAGGGCTTATATACGAGCCCTTCGGATGGGGACATTACAGGAACCAACCACTGGTGAGGCTGAGGAGGAAAGCACCACAAACCACCATTGCAACCGGTGGTGGTCATCTCGGTCTCGGTTGCCGCTATTGCGGCGGCTGGTGGGTCGGAATCATCTTTGTGGTTCTTACATGACGAAACACTCGTTGTTTTCCCCACAGCGTTCTCAGCTGAACATTCCATCTCTTGACGGTTATCCTTCTCGAAATTGTCTCTGCATTTGGTGGCAATGCACGAGAGAGGAGGCTGCAGGTTGTATTCTCCCGGAAAACGCTTTTTTACTAGAGAGTTTTTAGGGGAAGATTTTCCAAGATAAGTGCCGTCGTCGAGCAAAAGATGCGGCGACGCAGCCATAAGCCTCTGAACCTGTAAAATCACAGAATAATAAGCAAAAAACGGCGTTGATACTTGATTTCAGTTTTTTCCGGCCCGAAAACACATCAAAGTTATTAGAAATATCGTTTAAACCCTAAAATATCGAGGCACCATCCGAAAACCATTCAAGCTCAAGAGGAAGGGTTAGTGAATGATTTACCTTAACCAGTCTGTGCAACTCAAATACTTGAACTGCAAATACTCTTTGTTGACTGTAAAGAGTAACAAAGTTCTATCAAGAAGATGACATAAAACAAGAAACTTCAAGAACGACGAAAGTGTCTGCTCTTCGGTTCAAGAAACAAGCGAACCCTAAAAACAAAAAAGACGGTTAACGTGCCCAGCAAAACAAGATCGAGCAAGTATTTACAACAGATGCAAATATAACTGAATAAGAATACTGTACAAAGAGACTCGTACGAAAATACTCACGACTTGCCCTAGGAATCGAATCCTCTTAAGAGTATTAGCAAGAAGAAGCTAAAATTTTGCATCGATGTAACTAACTAACTATCGTTGCCTAAATTAGAACCCGGGATCCTCCAACATGACTCCTACCTGGCTTAAGCCCTCGAATGACAAAAACAGAAACTGCCCAAGAAGACAGTGCGGAACAAAAGCAATACCAAAACCAGATAGGGGACATATTCCCAATAAGCAGATGCAAATAAGACACATGGTTAGATAAATCCATGCACTGTCTCGGGTCGGTGGGTGGGTCACTTTGCAACAACGTACCGTCGATAAGGAATGTCCCCTCCCTGCTATAACACGATCCAATGCGTTAAACGCGTGTTAATATGTTATCGACGACTCTTCAACTAACACGTATATAAAAAAACACCAATTGGAGGAATCCGGGGCCTCTGACCACATAACCCACCTACTTCTGAAGCAAAGATTGAAAATTTTCCAACACCGAAAAAGACATTTATAAAAGCTAGAATCTGCATTAATATATGCTTCAGCTATCTGTATTAGCATAAATCTGGGTACGGCAAATAAAGGAAAGAACACTACAGATCAAACATACAATGATAATATATTAACACGCTCCTTCGAGGAAATCAGCAAAATTAACAGAAGAAAGCTATCCAACTTACTTGGAAATTGCTTTCCTTGCTTTCCAAAAACGTTTCTGACCAATTATTCCCACCATATCGTCAGGAGAGATATCTTCACTTGATATTGAATCCACCATCGAAGTCTCGGAGATACCATCACTCGCTTCTCCATTTCTCGGCTGCGAAGACATGCATGCCCTGCTTCTGACGCAACGATCGTGATCATTATCAACTTCATCTGGACTGCTATGGCCTTTTCCTGAACGACTCTCACCTCTCAACTGGGAAATATCAGTGCCCTTTTCACCATCATCTTGATCCAACCTATTTCCAGACTCTTGTCTCGATAGAGCATTATTTCCTCTGTCACATTTTGACACTGATTTGCTTACGTTCGTCTCTTCTCTAGCTACCACATCTAAAGGTTTTTTCGCGGTACCTTGTCTCGGGTTCTCCTTACCCGGGTCTCTACCGTCTTGTCTAGAACCAGCAGACAAAGAACCATCCTCCAGATCCTCGAGGTTTGCTTCTTGGATTTCAACTGAACGAGGACAGCTAGCTGCCACCACGGGAGAAAGTTTTTCACCATCCATGCCGTGAGAATTCGCCCTTCCTGAGTTGAGAAACACCGGAACCATGAAATCATCTTCCTCTCCAGCCATTTCCGTCTGATCATGGCGTGCCAAAGATCTCATATTTGCTACGCATGGGTTTTGAGAGACAAACTTCCCGACTGGCCACATAAAAGTTGAAGAAGACACCTGGTGGTGGAAATATCGGTTCCTTTCCATGCCACGGGCCTGCAGAAAAAAGAAAGATCAACAAATCTTGTACCCATCAAGGGTAGCTAGAAATGCAGAGCCAAACATATCAGATTGAGAAAGGTGGATAGAGCTCAGTTAGCAACATCCAGATAAGATCTTTCCCAAGAAATAAAACAGTAATGTGCAAAGGGAAACAATCAAAGAGTAAAAGCTGCCACTGTGACTCATGAGCAAACAAACATCAGGGGCATAACAAGAACATTAGTTTGAATTGCAAAGGAAATGATAACTAACACAGAGTTTATAATTAACTAAAGGACAATAACAACAAGAACATTACCCAATCAACAAACTAGATCACCGATTTCTAGCAACTTAAAACCCAAAAATAGCAATTAACAAACTCCAAAAAGGTTAATTGTCGGAAATTCGGAAGGAAACCATACCTGATTGGAGGGACCAGGAGGCAACATTCCCTGATGATTAAATCTCTGAGAAGGGATACTAAGCTGCTCATAGAGAGCCATCTTGTTTCTTGGAGGAGCCCTTGGCCCTCCTTTATCTGCGTCTTTCACATGAAGCCGAGGAAACAACGGCTCCATTATCTTCTCATCATCTTTCCCTCTTTTCATCACAATCTTCCAATATCCAAATCCTAAATCCCAAATCGTCTATCTCACACCAACCTACTCCTTCGACTACCCTAAAATTCTCAAACCCTAGTTTGCAAAGTCGAAAACTTCACCCTAAACAAACCATCCATCATAGGAAACTCAAACCAGAAACATCACAAAACCAACGAAGACGATAACCCAGCAATCACACACTGAACTATTTCACAGATCGAACAAGACCGGGCCCAAAAAACCGATGACTGGAAGAGAAGCCCACTATGAGAAACGAAGCTGGGTGCCTAAAAACCACGAATTGAACAGGCTCAGATGCAGAAACAGGAAGTTCTCCCCGAAACGGAGCGAAACAGGATCAAGTCGGGTCGGATCGGGGGGAAGGCTTAACCCGGATGAGATTTGCAAGCGAGAAAAGGCGAATAGATAGGCCACCGGAGAGAGGATAGAGCGGTGAAGGAACAAGTACAGATGTTAGTCAAAGCGGAGGAAAAGAGGGAGAGGAAGAGAGGGGGAGCGAGATGCTTGGGGAGAGGAAGAGGGGGAGACGAAAAGGATCGTTGATGGGGCCCACTAGAAAGGACGAGGTCTTTCTGGATATAGCAATTAAATATTCATACTGGAAAAAGTGCACGACTACGTCGACCAATTTATATTTTCTGAACCATTTGGAAAGAAAACCTTAAAAGTTACCACTATTTACTTGTTTTTTTATTACTTTTTTGGAGTTTAAATAAAGAATTTCTATCTTGTTACGTATGAAAGGATCTTCAAGGATCTTTGTGGATATTGTAAAAAAATGACACAAGGGTATTTAATATCATTACTATATTTGAAAAAAAAAATCACTGAATAATTTATTAATGACAAGTGAAATTGGCCAAATTCTATTTAGAATACTTTTTTCTTCACAATATTGTTTAAAAATTACGGTATCTCAAGACAGGTAAATTGAAGAAACAAAAAATACATTTGTTTACAAAAAAAATTCATACGATGGTTGGACGTTGTGAATTAAAATTTAAATATATCACTACTATATTTAGAAAAAAAACACTAAAGCATTTATTAATGAGGACTTACTTTTCAAGTGAAATTGGCCAAATTATATTATAATATCTTTTTATCCACGATATTGTTTAAAAATTGCAGTACCTAAAGACAGGTAAATTGAAGAAATAAAAAATACATTTGTTTAGAAAAAAAAAATCATATGGTTAGACAGATGATTGTGCATTCAAATTTAAATATATCACTACTATATTTAAAAAAAATACGGAAGAATTTGTTAATGAGAACTTACTTTTCAAATGAAATTGGCCAATTTATATTATAATATTTTTTTATCCACAATATTGTTTAAAAATTGCGGTACCTAAAGACGAGGAAACTGAAGAAACAAAAAATACGTTTGTTTAGGAAAAAAAATTCATACGATGGTTCTAATATGAATGTGCAATAAACTATTTAAATATAGAAAACTTCACATATTTATAATATATTTCACAAACTATTGGCAATGACAATGACTTCATAAATCTTTTCTGAACCATAAGTCATGGTTAACCTCTAACAAGATGTTATGATTATCCATATTGAATGGAATTAGAGTTTATCTAATCGAGTCAGTAACAACTCAAGTTCTGGTTATTTATCTTACGATGTCATATGTTGAACAAGAACATAATTTGAATCACCCTTCAAGTTCAACCACTTTCTTGTCTCGACAAATCGACTGATGAAATAGATGCAATTTCATCTATAGCGTGACCACACGTTTTCACAGGCTGACTTCCACGAGAGACCAACAATATCTCTCCTGTTAAGGAGGTGACAAGTCTCGTTTTGCATGTCTACTATCTCCATATGATTCGTGAATGCATCTGAGCAACGTCGTTATAACATCTAGTTAAAGACGACATTTGACGCAGTCAAGACACATCACTCCTCATATTACATACTCTAGACATCTCAGGTCTGAAGATCTAAAAATGAACCGCAACATGAAATTCAAATCATGACTTAGGTCCATATGACAATCTCATACAGATTATCCGGTCACTCGTCCCCAACGAGTACCCATGATTGTGATTCATAATCACACATCATGCTAATCTTAATTTATCATTGTTCTCACAATGAAACTGGCCAGAGAGTTTAGAATCATTCTGCAATGACTCAATGATATTGAAATATAACAAACATGCCAATTATATAACGAAAAAATGGTGCATTCATAAATCAAATTAATCAATACAATGTCAAATGTCATATCACGGATTATCCTAAAGCATTATAACCAAGTTTGGTTAAATTGTAGATATTTTGATATAAAATGTATTACACAAAAATAAGATTTTAAAAATAAACCTTAAGCCTTAAAAATATTTATTTTCATCATTATAAACTTCTGATATAAATGTTTGAAAATCAAAACAACGTTTTGCTTTAAACGTATCTTGAAAGGTAAATAGGATTTGCTATTTATTTGCATGTATTTAATTAGTTGATTATAATTTTATACATGTTTGCATATGATTGTTTTTTATTATATTTGCATAATAGATCCAATTATCATTTTTATATTATGTATCATTTTTGAAATCAATGTCCAAAATCTTATATTTATTTTGAATATAAATGATCCCGATCTGAGTTAAGTTGAATAATTTTAATTCTTTTTAAAACGAACGTGATTAAATCGAGTTAAAATTAACGAATTAGCGTTTGGAAATAAGAATGTCAATTTAGACTCGAGTCCCAAAGATTGATCCACATCAGTACGAAAAGTAGCAGGTTTAGTATCTAAGTTTTTCAGTCCGAAAAAAATTGAGCTTTTGGGACAGGCTCAAATCGGATTTCAAACTCGATTTGGGGTGATCTAAAAGCTCGATATTTAGAAAAAATAAATAACATTTACAAATAAAATTATGCGGGTTGTCTCAACCCGATCCGAGTCCGAAATATATTGGACCGGATTTTGGGTTTAACTAAATAGTCCTGAAAGCTAGATTCTCATGTTCCAATTTCTCGGCCCAATCCGAGTCCGAAATATATGCTACAGTCATCTTTAATTTGGATTGGATTTTTTTTATCAAAATATTTATTTTTTATTAGTTTTTTTTTTATAAAGAAAGAGGTTTTAAAAGCAATCTGATAGAATTTGATGAATCCAATGATAAGGAAGACAAATTACAACGCTAGATTATAAGAAAGTTGGTGTAATCTGTGATAAAGTTTAGAGATTCTCATGTTCCAGTTTCTATTTGGGGAATACTATTTACCTAACCAAAGATCCGATAAATTTGTAGATTATTCAAAAAAAAGTTCAAAGATTCTCATGATGGGATATTCGGTAGCCTTTCAACAGAAACACCAAGGAAAATTGCCAAGAAAAAATCCAAGGATATTTGATGTGATATAGGGTTCTCGTAATTGAATACTTATGTTTCACATTATTCTTGGAATGTTTCTATCATTTATCGGGTTGACTTTGGTTATATTTAGATTCGATTATTTCGATTTTAAAAAAAACTATAACTGTTAAGTTTTTATATCGAATTCGTTTCATTTCGGTTCTATTACGTTCATATATCGTTTTCATTAATAAAAAATACTCATTTTTCAATCAAATTTTTATTTCTTTTGTTATTTATTTTATTCAGTTCGTTCTTTTTTATTTGAGAGAAATAATAGTTATTTGATTTTTTTACATAGTTTTCCGATTTCGTTATTTATCAATTAACTCGGTTTTTCGTTATCAATTATCTACGTCGTGAACGAATATCATACATTATCGTGACATAGATATAAATATTAAAAAAAATCTTTTTTAATAACGGCATATCATGAAACAAAACTCATATTAATTATAGAGAACTAAAAAACTCGTATATATTTTCATCCTCAAATTTAAAGATTCGAACTCAAAATGGACAAACACTTGAACACTTAATAAATCCGGTTTTATCGGATTTGGCACATGCAAATAACATTCCTTAAGTTGCAATTTGAGATATCATCTTTGGATGGTAACATATGAAGATTGCCATTACTTGGACCATATAACACTCCTCATGTTTAATTAATATTCTTGTAAACTTCTACATATTTTTTATTCTTTTTGTAATTAATTTATCTTTAGTCTTAATGTAACTTGATTTTTATTTTACACGAATTTTTGTTATTTTTGTTTATTCTTCAGCTCTGCTATTACTATTAGTGTTTCCAAATTCTACCTACGAACCTTAATCTATTTAATTTATTATATTAGTAATCATTATCACTCCTGCATTCGAATTAAATATACCAAAAGCAATGCCCGAACGATAGGGGTGGACTTTTGAGATTCGATTTGGCATTTTAGTGGTTCGATTTAGGAAAAATTTACTCGATATTCTAAAATCTATACTAAATCAGTAGTGTATATTATTCAATTCGGTTTGGTTCTGATTTTGGTACGGTTATGTTTCGGTTAAGAAAATTTTGGTTTTTCGAAAATTTAATAAAATTCCGTTTGATTCGGTTCGAACTTAGAAAATTCGGTTCTATAAAAAAATATATCGTTAAAAAATTTTGAATAATGAGATTCATAAAAAATAAAAAATATGGAGATTTTGATTTCGATATGGTTATTCGTTTTTTTCCCTTTTTAATTTTTCATTGTTTGGCCGCTAGGCTCGTGATGTGTGGACTTAGAGGAGAATAGTGTGCCCGTGTTAACTCGCATGAAGCTACCAAGTTCATGAAATTACGACACGTGTCTGATTAATTTCGGAATTGGGTTTTACGAAGCCTATTGGGCCTAATTATGGGCCTATTTGGTTGGTGGTCTGTGCGTTATCAATTGTCACAGTCGGGTGAATCTAGCATAGCTTGTTCTCGGGATCCGCGAGTAATCAAAATTTGAACTTTGACGATTCAGATCATGACACGTGTCATATTTCGACCGTTGCTGGATTTTTTTTCCCTTTTTAGTTTTTCATTGTTTGGCCGCTCCTTTCCATCTCCATCGATCTATCTGTTCAATTTGAAATTCTGTTCTCTCTCTCTCCCCCTCTCTCGCTCGGGTCTCTCCAATGGCGATCGCTACGGAGTCGCAACAGCAGGAGAAGGTAAGGAAGAACCCACTACGGGATCATGATTTCGGAACCCGAATCTTCCTCTATTTTGTTTCAATTTGTTTCGATTTAGGGAGTGAAACCTTTTCTCGCCATCGGGTTTCTTCCTCGATCTTGTTTATTGAACTTTTTTGCATTGAATTTTGGAATGAGATTTGAAATTTCTAATGTCCCATTGATTCTTCTTGGGGATGAACGAGAATCTGTTGCGTTTATTGCTGGTTTCTTTTCTGTATAGTTAGAGGGGAATCGTTTCATTAATTATCCTCGTAAAGTTTCTTAGATTCCGAGCAGCTTGAGAGTCTTATTTTTTGTGGGTTTGTGGTCTTTTTCCTGTGCTGTCGCAGAGGATATTGACAAGGCTGAGAATTAGGGTTAGAAAATTATGAGAATGGAAGAAATTATCTACATTTTGTAGACGTGATTCGCGACCCTGTTCAATTGCGGGTTTAGTCAATATAGCAGAGGATTTTGCTACATGGAATTATCGATTCTGAAGACAAAGTTCAAACAGATCTGTTGTTTTCAATTAGGTGTTATCAAAGGTTATTTCTCAAATCTGGTTGCATTCAATCTTGGGGTTCTTCCTTTTTCAGTCGGCTTCAGATGCTTCAGCAGCTGTGCAGAAGAGATGGGCTCTCAGTGATTTTGACATCGGAAAGCCTCTTGGAAGAGGGAAATTCGGCCATGTCTATCTAGCGAGGGAGAAACGGGTCGGTGTTCTTCCATCCCTCTCTCTTTGTAGCAGTTTCCATCATTTCAATTCTCATAGCTGAATATTGCGAAGAAATCTATCTTTTATAGATTGAAGTTTTTTGTTACACTTCTTCGATCTCTATGATGTTAGTTGAATCCTAGAATTTGAAGTCCCGACAACGTGTTATGTCTACAGCTTCTTGTATACCCTTGAGTTAGATTCCAAGCTGAACTATAGATGTATTCGTGATGCAGAGCAATCACATTGTGGCTCTAAAGGTTTTGTTCAAGAGCCAGCTTCAGCAATCTCAAGTTGAACATCAGCTTCGGAGGGAAGTGGAGATACAGTCTCATCTTCGGCATCCCAATATACTGCGATTGTACGGTTATTTCTACGATCAGGTATGCTATGGTCTTGTTGTTCGACATTTTTTTTATGAGAGAAAAGTGTCTTTGGAGGATAACACATCTATGGGGACATCCTTGTTGCAGAAAAGAGTTTACTTGATTTTAGAGTATGCTGCTAGAGGTGAACTTTACAAGGAACTTCAGAAGTGCAAATACTTCAGTGAAAGACGATCCGCAACTGTAAATTTCTTCTATTCTCATTTGACCATGTTCTTGTCTCTGATATTCCCACTTCTGTCCATTCTTCAAATTTCAAGTGTTAGAAAACTAGCGCCATTGTCTTTTCCTATGCCAGTATGTTGCATCTTTGGCCAGAGCTCTCATGTATTGCCATGGAAAGCACGTGATTCATAGAGATATCAAGCCGGAAAACTTGCTGATCGGTGCACAGGTGAGAAAGTCTCCATCTTTTGCCTTCTCTCACCGATTTTTATGCGATTTCATTGTAACCAGAGTCTCTAAACATGTATTTACGGATCAATGCCATCAGGGGGAGCTCAAGATTGCGGATTTTGGTTGGTCAGTGCACACATTTAACCGCAGAAGGACCATGTGTGGGACACTGGATTACCTTCCTCCTGAAATGGGTACGTGGAGACTATCGATAGATTTCTCTTGTGTGCAAACAGCTGGAATTTGGTTATATAATCCTTGACCCTTTTGCTCTACAGTTGAAAGCGTGGAACATGATGCCAGTGTAGATATCTGGAGTCTCGGGGTTCTCTGTTACGAGTTCCTCTACGGTGTTCCTCCTTTCGAGGCCAGAGAGCACTCGGACACGTACAAAAGGTTCAGTGTCTGAATTTCACTAATACCGAAAGAAAGATGATGCTAACAGTTTTGGTTCTTGACTATCTGGTTTTTACCCTAAACGGTTGCAGGATTGTGCAAGTAGATCTCAAGTTCCCTCCGAAACCAGTCGTCTCTCAAGCTGCAAAGGATCTGATCAGTCAGGTTACTTATTGTGTCTAATATACTTTCCCCTCATAAGCATTCAATCCTCCATTGAATAAGAACAGAAAAAAAAGAATCTAAGTCATGTTGTTTTTCTCGGATTGTTTTTAGATGCTGGTGAAGGATTCTTCGCAACGTCTACCGTTGCACAAAGTTCTTCAGCATCCGTGGGTTGTGCAAAACGCCGAGCCCTCTGGCATCTACAGAGGCTAAGAGCAAGAGTGGCATCATGAAGAAGGACCTCTTGTGATGAAATTTGTCAAGTGAAAGGAGAGGCTTTTTCCTGAGAGTCTCTCTCCAGTCAAAGAACACTCTTTCTGTATCCGAATCCAAATCTATCTGTAAGCTGTAATCCTCAAAGAATGTTTTGTGTAGAATTCTGTATTCTCTTTTTTTTTTCAAGCACCCTTTTCCACATTCGGTTTCATTACACACATATATATAATATATATGTTGATGTCCTTAACCACAATTTGTAGATTAATGTGTAATCCCCTTAACCACAAAACAATGGCTCATTTCTCGCCCAATGGATAATTTTCGGACATTCGAGTTGCGGACACGGCGACGGAATCCGTACACCAAAAACCAGAAAAACACGGGTTTAGGATTGGGAGGTTCCCAAATCACGTATTAAATAGGATTTGGTACGGTTTCAATTTTAACACACAATGTTTGTTTGTTTTTTTATTGGGAGAATAACATAGAAATACCAAAATTGATCTAGATGTACCATATAAATACCCAATTTTTAAATAAATAAATAAGTACCTTAATTTGAGGTATTTATTTACCAATTTCCATTATCTATTTCAAATTTCTGTTATTTTTATATTTGTTGAATAGTATGTTATAAAAAGTCATATTTATCAGATTTTAATATATAATTTAATTTAGACATAATTAAAGTATTATTGGATTTGATTATATTCAAATTAAAACGTTTTATTTTAAAGAATATTATGTATTTTTAATGTTATTTGTAAAATATTTGAGATATTTCACTTTAAAAAAGAAGTTTCACTTTCATGCTTTACAAAATTTTGTTCAAAATTTCAAACAAACAACCCAGAAAATATCTCGTGGGCGAGGCTGTCCAGTCCAACCCCACCGTCCACGGTTTCCAGATGAGCCGAAATTACAAAATCCATCCGCACTTGACGTAATTGGATTTATTGCATTAATTTCAAAAATCCAATAATGATTAATAATTAATAAATAAAAAATAAATCCAAACCCCGTGCCCAATCGCAGTCTCTTCCCCAAAGGCAACTTTGCGTCTCTCTCTCTCTCTCTCCCGTGGCGCTTCTCGTGATCTCTCTCTCTCTCGACCGTCAATCGGTTTTATCCTGTTTGAGATTCTCGTTCGTCTTTGACTTTCTTTGAATTTGCTTCCGCAATCCCCGTTCTTCGACTTAGGGTTTTCGATTTCGATTTTTCGCCTTTTTTTTTTGTATTTGTTTCCCTATTCTGCTTGCAATTTCGAGTAGACCTCGCTTTCTCTTGTTGGGTCCCGAAATCATCATGATCAGAGCGGTTGAACCGAGTTCAATCGAATTCGCGTGAAGAAAAATACATATAGGGTTTTCTGGTGTTTGCGGGTGTTATCATCATGGTGGGTACCCAGCGCTCGGACGATGGTTCTTCGCCGCAGAAATCACCCAAGAGCTACGGAATTACGAAAGCGCTCTCGCTTGCTGGGCCTTCGCCTGCGGATATCAAGCGAAACGCCGAGTTGGAGAAGGTATTTTGGGTTTGTGTTCCTGTTATTTTTTTTTTGGGAGATGAATTGGATTTTGAAATTTAGGGTTTGGCTAATTCTGTGAATTTAATTGTTCTCTTATGCGAAGTCCTTGGTTGACGTGGGACTCTACGAAAGCAAGGAAGAAACCCAGCGGAGAGAAGAAGTTCTTGGTCGCATTGATCAGGTGCCTACACTCGTTTGGTTGATTGGCTTTACCATTGCTAAAAGATGTTAATTTGATTATTATGCTAATTAAATTCACGCATTGGCTGTTTTTATGAAAGCAGTATGTGTTTTATGGTCCTCTGTACGTTGCTTGCGGGTTCCAGCCCGTTTCCCTGTTTGATATGAAATAGATCTTGTCCCTGTTTCGTTGTATGAGACAAGGTGCTCTCGAGATGCTATGTAATCTAGTGTACTGTGTAATTTACCTTGTGAAGCCACATCCATTGGATACATTTCTTTTCAAGGCATTTTTGATTTTTTACTGTAGTTAATAGTTTGGTTGCTGCTAAAAGCTTTTGTAACATTTAGCACTGTCTTGTTCTGGATCCAGGTGTTGGCAATACCAATCTTTTATCCTGGTCTTATTCCGTTTAACACTGTTTTGGCTGTAGATTGTGAAGTGTTGGGTGAAGCAATTAACCCGCCAAAGGGGCTACACAGATCAGATGGTGGAGGATGCTAATGCTGTCATTTTCACATTTGGTTCTTACCATCTTGGAGTGAGTATTTCAGGTTTATTGTTTCCTTATTGTCATCTTACATCTCAGTTGTGTATCTGAATTATCTATTTGTCTGAAAGGGTTGCATATTGGCTGGATCATTGCTGAGACATTGATTCTTGATTTTGTAAGGAGATCATTCTTAATTCAGGAGAATGCTTTAACTGTGCCAGGAAACTACGCTTATGATTTTACTTGTTCATCGACTCTTATCACCGTATTTGTCTATATTCATATTATTTTGGGCGGAAGTAATTTTCTCGACTTTCAGGTACACGGGCCTGGGGCTGATATTGACACGCTGTGTGTTGGGCCATCTTATGTTAATCGAGAGGTGAAATATCAAATTTACTTTCTTTGATTGATGCAAAGGTTTGTTTTTTGGTTTGAATTGCTAACGTATTATTTCACAGGAGGATTTCTTCATTATCTTGCATGATATATTGGCCGAGATGGAAGAAGTGACTGAACTTCAACCTGTACCTGACGCCCATGTCCCAGTCATGAAATTTAAGTTCCAAGGAATATATATCGATCTTCTTTATGCCAGCATATCACTGCTAGTCGTGCCACAGGTAATTTCATTTTGTTAATCAATCAACGCATCCGTTTTCGATTTTTACTGGAACCCAAGGGATATTCCATTGTAACTTTATGACAACATTTGTTCTTAGTAGATTTTTCTGGTATTTATGGTGCTTGTCTTGCGTATTGACAGTCACTGACAGTGTCTTGCTCCACCTCCATGCACTGCGATATATTGAAAAAAAACTTGTGTGTAGAAATTGGTCGGCCTGAGGGATGTATGATGCTTGTGCCATGAAGAAGTTGTTTGGGTGCTGTAATACTGCCAATCATGTTATTGAGCTTCTGAAACATTTTTAATGGATTCCTGAGTTAGATGTGTTTGTTTTTCTGGATTAAATTATTGACAGGATCTGGATATCTCCAGCTCATCCGTGCTGTGCGATGTGGATGAACAAACTGTTCGCAGCCTTAATGGTTGTAGGGTTGCTGATCAAATTCTTAAGCTCGTTCCTAATGTTGAGGTAAGCTCGTTGAACGTCATTTCTTTTTGTTATTATATTTGATGAATTGTTTAAATTTGGGATTAAGGCGATGTTGTTGTTGTATTTGATGAATTGTTACGCAACCACATTTTGATGACATGTTCTACTGTAGCACTTCCGGACAACATTAAGATGCCTGAAGTACTGGGCTAGGAGGCGTGGCATTTATTCAAATGTAAGATCATGGCTTCTTGAAGTTCTTTTTTGTTGACCATACTTCCATTTTCAAAGTTTTGTCATCCTTTTCATTTTGATATAGGTTACGGGATTCCTGGGTGGTGTAAACTGGGCACTTTTGGTTGCACGAGTGTGCCAGCTATATCCAAATGCCAATCCTAGTATGCTGGTTTCTCGATTTTTCAGAGTTTACACTCAATGGCGGTGGCCAAACCCTGTCATGCTTTGTGCAATAGAAGAGGATGAGCTTGGGTTTCCTGTTTGGGATCCTCGTAAAAATCCCCGCGATCGCTATCATCACATGCCAATCATAACTCCAGCATATCCGTGCATGAATTCTAGTTACAATGTCTCTCAAAGCACTCTTCGCGTCATGACAGAGCAGTTTCAGTTTGGTAACAGGATCTGTCAGGTGACTGGGCAGGACTATTGTTAGTTGTAATACAATTATTGACCTCACAAAGCTTCTTTCTAGCATAATAATGGGGAATTTTCTATCCAAACCATTCTAATTATAATGTTTCCATGCAGGAGATTGAGCTAAATAAAAACCAATGGCGTTCCTTGTTTGAACCATATATGTTTTTCGAGGCATATAAAAACTACCTTGAAGTTGATGTAGTGGCAGCAGATGCAGATGATTTATTGGCTTGGAAAGGTTGGGTGGAGTCACGGTTCAGACAGCTGACCTTAAAGGTAGATAGATTGTTGTGTTCATTTAGTGCCTCAACTGTGAACCTGCTGTATTTTTCCATCTTAGTGTTGGCAGAAAAGTGTATACTTTTGATCCTTTATCTTCATATCCTATTATGCAGATCGAACGAGACACAAACGGGATGTTGATGTGCCATCCTCATCCAAATGAGTATGTAGACACATCCAGGCAGTTTCCGCACTGCGCATTTTTCATGGGATTACAGAGGGCACAAGGACTTAGTAGTCAAGAAGGTCAACAGTTTGATATACGTGCAACGGTTGATGAGTTTAGGCAAGATGTAAACATGTATATGTTCTGGAAACATGGGATGGATGTGTATGTTTCTCATGTTCGTAGAAAGCAGCTTCCTGCTTTTCTTTTCCCAAACGGATATAAAAGGCCTCGACAATCCAGACACCATAACCAGCAGTGCGGAAAACCTTGTGAGGATGGCTCTGGTTCCCGGTCTGGCTCTATGGAGAGAAATGCTAAGAGAAAGAATGATAGTGATACAGTCGATGTGAGGTCAGAGAAACCTGAGAAGCGTGCATCTCTTAGTCCACAAAGTCTAGGTTCTGTTTCTCCTGACAGTAGTTCTGGTACCACTTGTGAGATCTCTCCCATTAGCCTTGTTGGAGGTCTTAAACCTGAGTGCTCGGTGGCTGGTGATGCTGTTTGTGACCTTAGAAGGCCACCCCGTGAGGAAGCCGTGGCTGAAAATTTTAGCAGTGAAGGCACAGAACTAAAAACGTTTGCTCAACGTGAGTGTAGCACTGGCATTGAGCAAACTATGGACGTAGATAGTATTACATCAGTCCAAGGCTGTGCTGAGCCTGCTGAAAGGTTTGTTTTTTGGTTTGAATTGCAGATGCTGAACCCGTTGGAAAGCTTTGGACACCTGATTCTAACTCTGTGTCAGCATTTGAAAGTGGGCAAGATAAAGACATAGGTCATGAATTGGGTTATGTATCCATCAATGACGCTGAGATGCCTCTCCCTGGGCAGTTAAACATGGAAGGGGGAGATGTTGAAGCTGAGAAGGAAACCAAACAATGTAACGACGGTACAGGAAGGACTGTAGAAATTGCAGATAAGGTTTTGGGGATCAGGTCTTGTGTGAAGAACCTTGAATGCAAAGTGAGCTTTTTTTTCTTTTCCTGTCGGAGGGTTTTGGAATAATGATTGTATCATTGTAGCGAACTGGCAGTGAAATGGGCTGAACATAGTGCAAGGGGTTTTGCAGGGTTTAGTTGTAGCTGCTGCAAATCTGGATCCAGATGTGGGAGGTAAAACATTGCACTCAGATGGAGTCTTTCAAAGTGCCTTGTCAGAAAAACTTCAGGTTTTTAATCTATCTCACGGCTGTTGGTTGGGGTTTTTTTTTGGGCATTTTTGAAGCTAGTATTTCATTGCATTCTCCAATGTTTTACCATGTTTGAGGAAAACGTAGATTTACCCTGAGTCCTTGACACAGTTTTGCTAGTGCCAGAGCTTCACTGCATTGCATATTTTTTTTAGGGTGATCCTCTACTAGTTGCCATAATCTAGATAACATATTATAGCCCAAATCTTGAGGTGAAATTTAATGGCAGTCGATATGACCGCATCATTGCCTTTGCTATGTAGGTGTTCAAGTTTATCTTTTTGAGTTCTGCTTATCTGGTGTCCCTTTTTTTTCGCCCGATACTAGTTTGTTTGTTTTTCTGAATACCTCCTAGGCTCCTAACACTCCTCCATGCATATGTATATATGGTTTGCAGGTCCTGCACGTCTCCGTGCTTGCTGTGTATATCCAGCAACACCGCGTTAAAAAAATTGAACATAATAACATTATACTTTCGGAGACTAGATGCTTGAATGTGATACCTCTTCTTCTTTCTTTTTTTTTCATAGCCAAACTCAGGGGTGGAGAAGTCGGAAGACAGAGCAGCTAGGTCAGAATCTTTGCAGAAGCCACTGATAAGGCATGTCTTTTTTACAACCCCTCCCTTACTTCATGCAAAAACATGATCTCTTTATGCTGTCTTGTTTTTTTTTTTTTGTTCTTTTGTTTCCTCTGTTTTACTATAGCGCCATGTTGAACTTGAAGTCGATGGTGTGACGTTTCCTCAAGGCAATCGAAAAGAGAAACGGAACAGAAAATAAAACGGATGAAACCTGGAAAAATGGAGGAGTAATCATGGGCATGGCCAACCCCTCTATTGTTGGCTGCGGAAGGATCCCAAGACACTGGTAAGTGGTAAGTTCACCTTAATCTGAAAACCAAATAAAGGAAAAAAAAATTTACAATTTTGAGAAAAACCCAAAAAAAAAAAAGAGATAAAAGAGGAAAATGGTTAAAAAAAAAAGGAAAAAGAGAAAAGAGAGTGTAAGAATGTTTGATTCGGTGGCTTTGTTTTGATCGGGACTTCTCTGGGAATG